TGAGTCTACTGCGGATGGGAGGAGGAAAGTCAGCATTGGGTTTTTTTTGTCGGGTCCAGTCCTCAAGCAGTCTGTTTTCAGAGCAGGGTCGACATTTAAGGAGATTGGAATCAGTGTGATGCAAAAAACAAGGGGATTTTATGGGCTTTAATCCATGTGGGAACTTAAGGCTTTGTCAGAAGGCGTCACCTCTTACTGTACACCCGTAAAAGTCACACTGCAATGTTGGCTCCTCAGGCCGTGATGATTCCAATTCCGGCCGTCACCGGACAGTTTGGTTAACCAAGGGCAAAAACTCAGTTTTCTCATCCAATTCACAGCGGGCAGGAATTGCAATGTTACACTGTGGTCAGAAGTTCCAAACTACAGGAAAGTAAGGCAGTCTGCCTGCAGACCCACTTCCAAAAGATTTCATGTGAAAGCAGTTTCTCTCTTTACAGGCTGGAGCCCCAGGGAAAAGAGAAAGTAGAGTCTTAGCGCATCGGTTTTTAAGCTGTATGATGGCGGGAGCAGTCCTGCCTGCATCACAGTTTTCCAACAGCTGATTTGTCTTGCAGGTGAATATGTGGCGCTTTTGGCTTTCCATAACTGCTTCAGTTGCCTGTTAGTCACTGCAGTCATATTCAAAACATTGCAACCTCTTAAAGGGTGCTGGTCCTTAATTTGGTGCTGGTCCTTAAGGTCTCTGAATAGGTTGTGTAACATTGGTTGGGCTGAAAATGGCATATTTGCTGTTCTATGAGCCCTAATGCAAGCCTGTTAAAAAGCCTTGAATGAATGAAATGACAGGTTTGCTTCCTTTTATGGTATGATCATGAATATTTAGATGAGCTGTGCGCTAATTGGTTTGTTTACAACAGGCATAGCTGCTGAGCAAAGACGCATTACAGCAACAAGCACTCACCCCCTGAAACATCATGGTAGGGTGACCAGATGTCCCCTTTTTCCCAGACAAGTCCTAATTTTCATACCTAAAAAGTGTCCAGGGGGAATTACAAAATCGTCCAGGATGTTGGTCGACTACAGTGCAGCAGAACTGAGCCATCAGCTCCGGGCTGGTCCTGGAACCCCAGCAGGAGCCAGCAGGGGACAGAGAGACCTAACCTGACCTGGTGACGGCAGTCTGGACAACGGTAGCCCCGGGCCCACTTACCATGCTTCGGTAAGGCATGTGGGGGGAAGCATACCGTCACTGGGTCGGGTTCGGTTGCTCCGTCCCCAGCTGGCTCCAACCGGGGATCCTGGACCAGCCCAGAGCTGAAGGCTTGGTTCGAATGCCCGGTCTGGTCCAGTCAGCGGTCGAGAACGTACATTTATTCATGTTCTTGGGCCTGTGAACCAGTGGGCTGGTCTGTATGTCAGTTTCTGGGCGTGAAAAAAGTACAAGCCAGAACCAAATAAGGTGAAAATCACTGAATTGATGTCAATTCGGGGCTTCCTTTGAATTTGGCCGTTTCATGATGGAAGTTTAGATCTTTGAGATTTGCAGAGAAAGGAGGTGTTGATGGAGTTTGAACTTCTCTGTACATCCATCACTCACTCTGCTATCGTTATTCATCTATGACAATGTAAACTCAAAGTGGCTTAGGTTATCCTGAGCTATCTCTATAGTTATGCTGCTATAGGCTTAGACTTCTGGAGGACATAGGGACCCCTATTTCATCATTCTGCTTCATTCTCTCTCTATTCACCTACTCTGCAGAATCTGTTAGTTCAATCTCTAACATTCTGCTCTCTCTGCTTTTTCTCATAGTAGCTTCATCTGGTCTGTTCCTGTTTGGCTGTGACACTGGAAAGAAATATCAGCTGTGCTGCTGCCATCAACATCTTTGTTTGTAGATGCTGGAGATCGGCCTGTTTTCCAGTGTAGTCCCTTTTCTCTGACCGTGACTGGCTGAATGTGCTCTCGTCATCCTCTGACATGGGAGCTGGCTCGGAGCTCGTCTGCCTGGCTGTGTGTTTCCTGGACAGGGCCGCCTTTTACAGCTGCTTTTTGTATCTACGCTTCTGTCTCCTTGAACCCCAGTTGGCCTCGGCAGATGGCCGCTCACACTGAGCCTGATTCTGCTGGAGGTTTCCTCCTGTTAAAAGGGAGTTTTTCCTCTCCACTGTCGCTACAAGCATGCTTAGTATGAGGGATTGCATTTGAGTCAATGAGTCAATGCAATCAACTGGTATTCCTTAGATAGAAAACTTTGAATGAATTTGACGGTATGATCTGGTTGAACTGTAAAGTGCCTTAAGATGACTTGTGTTGTGAGTTGGCGCTATAGAAATAAACTGAATTGAATTCAATTAGTATACAGTAACAGATAAATGCCTTTTATGTACATAAATAAATCTAAGATCTTTGTGTTCAGCTGATAAAAAAATTTTGCAATCATGTTTCCGGTCAGTGTATAGATTAAGGGTTAAACTGCATAAGCTTTATACATGTTTGCTAAATTAAAATGTGAGTTTTATGAATTTACCAATATTAGAGAAAAAAATACAACAACTACTTATTGAATAGTGGGATGTTAAAATATGTAATACAGGCTTTTTTTGGTAAATAAAACACACCGAACTGAAATGGTTCATAGTAATTGATAACAAGCATAGGAAGGATACGGTTTATGATAAGCTGTACTATTTTTTACATATTTGAGGTGATCTGCAGTGTTTAAATCTTTGAAATAAAGTGTTTACCTAAAAAAGGATTAAAGAATTCTATAATTCTTATTAAAGAATATTCCTATAAATGTATAATATAATGTATAGTATATAATAGATGCACCATTTGGTTAGCTGGACTCTGGATTGATAGACTGCATGCTGAGGAGATGACATACTTCTTTCTTCTGTTTGTTTTGCTTTTGCTTTTTTAATGAAAATCCTCCTAGGAGAGCAAAAGACCACTGATAAATGGAAAGTTTTTTTTACGTGTTTGTTGTTTTAAATGAACCATGTAAGTCATGCCTAAGAAAAAAAAATGCTAACCTAAAAATGCAAATGGCGTCATGCAATGGATACAGTTTCTATAAAGTTTGCACGGAGAGAGAGGATCATTATGGGGGATCATTATGAGGATCATTAGAGGATCATTCCCTAATATGCAAAAGCTTCTTATCTGCTGTGGAGCATCATCATGGAGTGGATGTTGTTGTCAAGCCACAGTTCTTGTAATCCATCTAAATGCGGGTCCTCCACCGACCTTAACCAGCTATTAAGTAGATCATAGATTTACATATGATCAACTAAATGCCTAAACAGCATAAAAAAATGCTTCTTTCTTTGAAATGAATCTTAATTATTGTTTAATACCAGACTTACTTTTTGCGGTATATCTAAACCTTTGTGCAGTCCAGCTTACCAATAACATTAGGAAATGCTATATCAAAACGTAAAAAAAACCTGATCTAGAGGTTTCTCAAATTTATTTTGTGATGTGTAGACACATTCATGTAACCTGTTGTATCACTCCTTGATTGTAACTAATTCAGCTGTGATACGGGAAGGCTATGAAGATACACATATAAATCTAAGTATACTCTACGCTTAAATTTCATCTTGACCTGCTGCAGGTCCTGGATGTTTCAGTCATATTAGTTCTACGTGGATATTGTCACGATATGTAACGAAGAAAAATGTGATCAGTCATAGCTGCAGCTTGACAAAAAAGTTCACTGCTGGATCATTCTTATTTCTCCTTGGCTCTTAATTTCTTCTATCTCATTAGTAAGATTATTCAAAGCCATTTTCTCTACCTTTATGCTGCTATATGTTTAGGCTGCTGGAGGATATAGGGACCACTTTTCTTCATTTTGCATTCTACTGTTTTGTAATATATCTGTTAGTTCAACCTCTTATGCTCTCGCTGTTTTTTTCATTATAATAGCTTTATCTGGTCTGTTCCTGTTTGTCTGTGACTCCTGGAAAGAAATATCAGTTGAAATATCAGTTGTGCTACTGTCAACTCTATCTTTGTTTATAAATGTTGGAGTTTGGCCTGTTTTTTTATTGTAGTCCTGTTTCTTTTACTGTGATTAAAATTATGAGCTATCTTTCATCATTTGACATTGGAACTTGTCTGCCTTGCTATGTCTTAACTTAAAAGGGCCACGTGGGGAGCTAGTTAACCGTAACATTTAAGTATCTCCCTCTTTTTGTATGTTTGGTTCTCTGTGAAAATGACCCCTGCATTTGGCTTGATCGCTTGCACCTTTCTTGACATAATGATACCTTTAGTCTGGCTTGGCGTTTGTGAAGTGGGTTAAGCCAAGATGTACTGATCAAGCTCCAGACAGGCTTTAACTCATATCCTTGATTTGTAAAATAGGCCTCTGCTCCAGTTCTATTAATGGCTTCCATATTTACAGGCTGCTCCTCATTTGCCAACAGACAATGCCAAATTTTACGCTCTGTTTTGGCAAACCTGAGAACTGTACTATGACTGTACTAGAACTGAAAAAAGCAAAAAAACAGTGGTGAGTGTATATACTGCTGTCCCTGCTAAGCCTCATATGATCACAGAGAGTCTCATCCATCTTGCAGCCTACAGTGACAAGAGCAATACAAGGGGAAACAAATATCTAACAGACTGTTAACCATTCTCCTGCGATGGATTGGCGACCTGTCCAGGGTGTACCCCGCCTCTCGCCTATCGACAGCTGGAGATAGGCACCAGCACCCCTTGCGACCCCTCTCGGGACATAGAGTGTAAATAAAATGGATGGATGTTAACCTTTCTGCTGTCAAATGATACTGTGGGGCATCACACTCAAGAAATGACATTAAAGATCAAGTCATTGTAAGAGTCATGAAATGTGGAAGATTTTCCCTACAACTTGATGAGTGCACAGATATGTAAGGAAAGGCACAGCTGTTGGCCTTTGTGAAGTACACTACAACTACAAAATGAAAATGCACAAAAATTTGTTCATCAATCAAGGAACCATGCACTTTTGAACAGTAACAAAATTATTGGCTGAAATGGAATAGCTGTGCATCTGTGTGCACGGATGGAGCTGGAGCTATGCAAGGGCAAGAAAAGGTTTGAGGGCCTCCCTTGTGGAGGTAGCCTCCGATGTGAAATTTCTGCACTGCGTGATCCACATGACAGCACTTGCTGGAAGGTGTCTCGAGCCAGAGCTTTGTTATGTTCTCCAAACATCAGTTAAACTTAAACTCAGTTAATTTCGTCAAATCCAGACTACTGGAAGCAGACATTTTGCCACATTCTGTATTGCAATGACATCAGAACACAAAGCACTTCTCTCTCACACAGAGGTCAGGTGACTTTATTATGACAAAGCTTTAATGATGCTCTGAACGATTTGAGGGTTCCACATATTTTTCATCAGACTTTAATTCTCCCCTTTATGACTATCTGACAGACCCAAAGTGGGTTGTGAGCCTTCCATATTTAGCCAGCATTTTTGTAAAACTAAAACATTTAACTTGTCTCTACAAGGCCCAAATGCAAATGTCCTTGGTATCTGTCATGATGTGGCAGGTTTACTAGCCGAGGTGCAGAAGTAACGGACACAGAGAGGCCGGATAAAGTCCAATATTTATTAGAAACACACAGGGTTCTGCCCTGGAAGGCAGAGAGGACAGAGCAGGTTAGGTTCAGGTACAGGTTAGGTTCAGACTTACAGGTTCAAACAGGCAGGTTGGCTCAGGCTTGCTACCATGGCAAGGACAACAATCCGGCTGAAAGGGAAGCTCTAACCCAGCTTATATGGGGAGAGCTTCATCATGAGCTGATGGGAATCAGCTGAGCGCTGAGCACCAGCTCCCAGGAGAGGATCCATGGCGCCCTCTGGAGGGCAAACCCCTGGATCCCAACAGTACCCCCCCCCCTTAAGGGCGGATACCAGACGCCCAAAAACCAGAAACAAAAAACAACCCACCCAGGGCGGGCAGAGGGGAAAACAGGCAAGGAGGGCCAGGCACAGAAACATGGTCCAGAATTCAGAAACAGGGTGGGCGAGGACAGGGAAAGTCTCAGGTGGCTGGCCGTGGGACCGGCAGCAAGGCAGAGTTCCAGGTGGCCGGCCGTGGGACCGGCAGCAGGGCAGAGTTTCAGGTGGCCGGCCGTGGGACCGGCAGCAAGGCAGAGTTTCAGGTGGCCAGCCGTGGGACCGGCAGCAAGGCAGAGTTTCAGGTGGCCGGCCGTGGAAACGGAGCTGAAGCAGACGCTCCGGAGGCCGGCCACAGGACCGGAGTCTCAGAAGCTGCAGGGGCCTTGGAGGAGGACGCCACCTCCGCTTCAGTAGGAAGCGCAGAGGAAGAAGCAGTCTCTGCTTCTGCAGGAAGCTCCGAGGAGGACGCCGTCTCAGCTTCTGCAGGAAGCTCCGAGGAAGACGCCATCTCTGCTTCTGCAGGAAGCTCCGAGGAGGGCGCCGCCTCCGCTTCTGCAGGAACTGAGGAGGCCGCCGATTGCGGCTGCGAATCAGGAACACCGGAAGTCACCGACTGCGGCTCTGAATCAGGAGCACCGGAAGCCGCCGATTGCGGTTCCGCATCAGGAGAAGAGGAGGCCACCGACTGTGGCTCCACATCAGGAACAGAGGAAGCCATCCCTTGCGGTTCCACTTCAGGAACAGGGGAAACCACCGACTGTGGCTCCAATTCAGGAATCTCTGGAAGACACAGAGCAGGCTCAGGGGTCTCCAGACGGCTCAGAGCGGGCTCAGGGGTCTCCAGACGGCTCAGAGCGGGCTCAGGGGTCTCCAGTCGGGTCAGAATCTCCAGCCATCAACGGAACGAAACCGTCCAGTGAGGTTCCGTGGAGTTAGTCGGTTCCCCCTTATAGATCCTCAGGAATGTCTCCGTTGGGTCTGCTGGGCTAGTCTGTTGGCCGGATTGTTCTGTCATGATGTGGCAGGTTTACTAGCCCAGGTGCAGAACTCACGGACACAGAGAGGCAGGATAAAGTCCAATATTTATTAGAAACACACAGGGTTCTGCCCTGGAAGGCAGAGAGGATAGAGCAGGTTAGGTTCAGGTACAGGTTCAGGTTCAGACTTACAGGTTCAAACAGGCAGGTTGGCTCAGGCTTGCCACCATGGCAAGGACAACAATCCGGCTCAAAGGGAAGCTCTCACCCAGCTTATATGGGGAGAGCTTAATCATGAGCTGATGGGAATCAGCTGAGCGCTGAGCACCAGCTCCCAGGAGAGGATCCACGGCGCCCTCTGGTGGGCAACCCTCTGGATCCCAACAGGAAAAACAGAAACCCACAGAAAGGGATCCACGTCGCCCTCTGGAGGGCAAACCCCTGGATCCCAACAAGGTCACAGCCTTTTAGAGTGAGCTGGAGCGGTGGGCTATTCGAGTGAATAGGGGAAGCATTGCAATGCCCCCGAAGCTGGAGGACTTCATGGAGCACTATGAAATAATTTAAACTATGAAAAAAATTATTGCATGTCAACTAAGCAGCCTTCTTCAAAGTCTTGATAAGTAGTACCCAAATGACGACACGTCGGGAAAGTACGATTGGATATGCCATGTAAGGCTGCCACCTCCTTCACTGTGCTTCATCTATCATCAAAGTTGCCTGCTCAACCTCTCCTCTGATCTCACATTACAGACTGCTTTATATACATGAATGCTAAAGAATTCTCATTACCAGGACTTGTCTCCTACCCCTTCTTATGCTCTCCACTGATCAGAGGTGCTTGGGTCTGCTGGTGCACTGATGGTTATCTAGGTATTTGGTTGGTTACTTCGGGGCTTTCTCATTCTCCTGGTGGCTGACGGGCTGGACCTGAACCTCCTAGACCTGTGGGGTCCCTGCTTGGGCATGGTGTGCCCCCGGGCCTTGGCCCCTAGGCTCTCATCCGGGTCAACCTTGAGTGTAACCGACCTGTGGCGGAGCTCGCTGCCCTGACCCTGTGCGACCTAGGCACTAAGTTCTCTGGCCCCTCAGGGACTAGGCCATTTCGAGTTTTTGCCCTCGGGGGTCGGGCTCTGGTTGCTCTTATCTGCCCTTCTTTGGTGAGTGCAGCCATCCCTTTGTCTGCCCTCCTTGTGTCCCAGTTATCTGGACTGCTTCTGGATATCTGGGGTCAGGTTCATCTCTTTATCAGTCATGAACCCTAAAGGGTGGGTCTGGGGTCACCCACACCTGCTATTAAGCATCCTTCTAAAGAAGCTTTTTAAATCCTTAGTAGACTAGTATCCTCACGAAAATATACCATGGGAGTTTGATTTCAGATGCCCATTGATACACACTAATACTAGATACTAGTATTAAGCCATAGCTACAGATTTATACCACCCTGTATAATATTGTTTAATACCCATAGGTGTTTCCTTCCACACAGTTTGATATCTAAGGATACCAGCTGGTCTTGAAGCTCTTTCTTGATGTTTACTTTAGTTGTCTTCTTTAAACTGTTGTTATGTTCTCTGTTTCTTTCATCTACAAGTGTGGAAGTAAACTTCTAGGAGTTACTGTATATCTTTTGCGTTGTCTGTTTTGAGTTATTTTCTCTCCATTCATGCGCTCCTTTCCATCTCCGTTGTATACAAAATTACTCCCAAAATAATTTTCATTAAAATTTCATATACAAATACCAAGCAGAACCTTGTGGCCATAATGGTCTACATGTGAAAGCATATCTGTTGGGTCATCTATTCCCAGAGCTATATTAGCACAACAGGGCACCAAAAAAACAAAAAACAGAGACTTCTGGTTGTCAGTAGTAACAGCAATGTCAAAAGCTGCAACTGATGTACTGTTTCCATTTGCATCCACATATCTGCACTGACATACATGAAAAAAAAAAATACAGATCTTGACTCCTCTCGAGTGATCTCTGTGTGGCCCTGTCTGACATAAAGCCAAGAATAAAGCTGCTCTGTTCATACAAGCAGGCTGAATCATCACATTCAGCAGTTGCTGAAAACATCTCCACTTTTTTCCAGGAATCTTTTTTCCCCCACTTAACCTCTCAGAAAAACAGTGTTGTTTAAAATTAAAGATGGGCTGTTTCCCAGTGTTGGGGGGGTGGTGGACAGCAGTGCCTGTTTAAGTTGCGGATCACGACTCAAAAAAATTAAGAACACCTGGTCCACATCACCACAAATTTAATTCTAGTGATAGGTTTTGCAATTGAGATAACCAAAACACTACTAAAAAGAGGATAGAGACATTTTCTTAAAGAGATGATGATATGTGACAGCTCAAATCTGGATTTAGATGACCCTTTTCATAATATTTATTATCAAGAGCCATTGTGAAGGGTCCAAAGAGCCATTTGCGGCTCCTTTCCCGATATAGTATATTTACTCTAGGAGGTTTTCAGACCAACTTTGTTTGTTTGTTTTGTTTTGTTTTACTGAAGTACACTACAAAATTTAAACAAAGTTTTAAGTATTGCAGCTTTGTCAAGATAAGTTTGCTCTGAAATATCTGACAATATTTGATTTGTAAAATAAAAAACATCAGAGTGTCCATGATATACAGGTGCTGGTCATAAAATTAGAATATCATGAAAAAATAGATTGATTTCAGTAATTCCATTTAAAAAGTGAAACTTGTATATTATATTCATACATTACATACAAACTCATATATTTCAGATGTTTATTTTGTTTAATTTTGATGATTACAAATGACAACAAATGAAAATCTCAAATTCATCATATCAGAAAATTAGAATATTACTGAAGACCAATAAAAACAAAGGATTTATAGAAATGTTGGCCAACTGAAAAGTATGAACATGAAAAGTATGAGCATGTACAGCACTCAGTATTTAGTTGGGCCTCCTTTGGCCTGTATTACTGCAGCAATGCGGCGTGGCATGGAGTCGATCAGTCTGTGGCACTGCTCAGGTGTTATGATAGCCCAGGTTGCTCTAATAGTGGCTTTTAGCTCTTCTGAATTGTTGGGTCTGGTGTATTGCATCTTCTTCTTCACAATACCCCATAGATTTTCTATGGGGTTAAGGTCAGGAGAGTTTGCTGGCCAATTAAGAACAGGGATACCATGGTCCTTCAACCAGGTACTGGTAGCTTTGGCACTGTGTGCAGGTGCCAAGTCCTGTTGGAAAATGAAATCTGCATCTCCAAAAAGTTGGTCAGCTGCAGGAAGCATGAAGTGCTCTAAAACTTCCTGGTATGTGGCTGCGTTGACCCTGGACCTCAGAAAACACAATGGACCAACACCAGCAGATGACATGGCACCCCAAACCATCACTGACTGTGGAAACTTTACACTGGACTTCAAGCAACGTGGATGAAGTGCCTCTCTTCATTTCCTCCAGACTCTGGGACCTTGATTTCCAAAGGAAATGCAAAATTTACTTTCATCAGAGAACATGACTTTGGACCACTCACCAGCAGTCCAGTCCTGTTTCTCTTTAGCCCAGGCAAGACGCTTCTGACGCTGTCTGTGGTTCAAGAGTGGCTTGACACAAGGAATGCGACAGCAGAAACCCATGTCTTTCATACGTCTGTGTGTGGTGGTTCTTGAAGCACTCACTCCAGCTGCAGTCCACTCTTTGTGAATCTCCCCCACATTTTTGAAGGGGTTTTGTTTCACAATCCTCTCCAGGGTGCGGTTATCTCTCTTGCTTGTACACTTTTTTCGACCACATCTTTTCCTTCCCTTCGCCTCTCTATTAATGTGCTTGGACACTGAGCTCTGTGAACAGCCAGCCTCTTTAGCGATGACCTTTTGTGTCTTGCCCTCCTTGTGCAAGGTGTCGATGGTCGTCTTTTGGACAACTGTCAAGTCAGCAGTCTTCCCCATGATTGTGTAGCCTATAGAACTAGACTGAAAGACCATTTAAAGGCTTTTGCAGGTGGTTTGAGTTAATTAGCTGATTAGAGTGTGGCACCAGGGGCCATCAATTTTGAACCTTTTCACAATATTCTAATTTTCTGATATGATGAATTTGAGATTTTCATTTGTTGTCATTTGTAATCATCAAAATTAAACAAAATAAACATCTTAAATATATCAGTTTGTATGTAATGTATGAATATAATATACAAGTTTCACTTTTTAAATGGAATTACTGAAATCAATCTACTTTTTCATGATATTCTAATTTTATGACCAGCACCTGTAGCTCGATGTATGTAAAAACTTGCTTTGGAAAGAAATGGTTCAATGTAATATTAGCAGGCTGTCGTGTCATTTGTGGTTTTCCTTGTTTTCAAGCAGAGGGGCATCTTTGTGTAGCCTACAGACTTTGCAGATCTACTCAACCCTTTCTACATATCATTTTACTACAGGAAGTTCTGGCATCTAGGTTTGCACGGAAGTGAAAAAAGAACATTACCCATGTATCAAACAGACAGTCTTTTCAGAGACTGATCATAGCATCAGCAACTTCTACTGCAGTCCTCAGAGCAGCATCATGATGGAGAAGATCTTGTTGGGATTTTTGTTTCTTTTAGGTGAGTGACTTCATCTTTACGTCTGGCGCTATTAAAAGCTTTTCCGTAAAGTGACACAGAATGATGAAAAATAAGATTTTTAAATCTATCTTCCAGACTGCGTGGTCCTCTCCACCTGTGTCATTCCTCAGTACTATTTTGTTAATCAGCCATTGACTTGGAATGAAGCTCAGATCTACTGCAGACAGAAGCACACAGACCTGGCCACCATCCTAAATTCTAAGGAACTGAACCAACTTATCAACATTCTTACATCTGCTGGACACAGCTCTGACGTCTGGATTGGTCTGTTCAGTAAAATCGACTGGAAATGGTCTGATGGTTACACTGGGATTGGAGCTGACTACAGAAACTGGAGAGAATATCAACCATCATGGCATTATTCCGATGACTTTTGTGTGGGATCATATGCTTCTGGGAGTTGGTTTGATGATAACTGCACAGAAAATCGACCATTTTCGTGCTACACAGGCAAAGCTATCAATTATGAGACACATTCTTTGAAGCATTACTGTAAGTCATAGAACATCTACTTAACATTATCCTCTATTGTCGTCATAACAGGTTCACGCTCGGACCCTGATTATGTTTATGTGAATACACCAATGAATTGGTTCAATGCTCAGATCCACTGCAGGGAAAACTTTATTGACCTGGCCACCATAAAAGATGTCACACAGGACCAGCAGGTCCAGAGCCTGATAGCTGATGGTGACGAACCATGGATTGGTCTATATAGAGATCCAGATCATCACTGGTCTGACCGGAGAAGCGTCCTCTTTACCAACTGGGATTCTGGTGTTGTTCGCTTGAACTTGAGGACAGTCGTATGTGGTGCTACATCTACTGGGAGCTCAGGGAGATGGAAGCTTTTACCCTGTGAAACAAGATTACCATTTGTCTGTTATGATAGTGGTGAGTGTGTTTTACAATCCAAAGTAAAAATAAGAAGCTTCTTTTCAAAGGAAGGCAAATTCTGATGAATATTATTTTTGTCCTGATATCTAGCCTTTATGTTACCCCAAAATCATAAACCAATATATCACATTTTTTAATTTATTTATTTATTTATTTATTTGTTTGTTTGACAGGGACAGTGTACATTAAAAAGCATTCCTAAAAAATACACCACAATTAGCCAAAAGGCTATTTTTTCATCTGTTGTCCCTGGACAGATCTTAAAATTGTCTACCTAAATAAAACACAACAGTAAGCATTCTACAATGAAAAATCCAAATATAAAAAGAAATAAAAGCTATAACTATAGCTATAACTCCTCAAAACTGATTTAAAAATACAGAATAAGTGTACGCTGGACTACAGAGGTTAATTGAATAGAATAAAACATTTACATAAATATATACATAAAACATTTATGTATATATAAATATATATAATATATATATATATATATATATATATATATATATATATATATATATATATATATATATATATATATATATATATATATATATATATATATATATATGTTCATACATATATATATATATATATGTATGTATATAAGAAGAAATAAAAAGAAAAAAGATAGATTAGGGAAGGCAGCTGTTCACTATTTATTTCCCAAAAGGTGAATCAAGATAAATACTTACAAAGTTCTATTAAAGCTAACATAGTTTATTCCAGACACCTGCTGTTGGTGTTTGTAAGCTCAAATTAAATCTTAAGCTTAGCTTGTTGCCAACCAGGCTGCCTTCATCTGCAAGTATAAAGACAGTTAGAGGCCAGCTGTTAGTTGTCAACATTAGTTTCAGAAACAAACAGGTCCTAGCACAGCCACAGCAACTGGAACAGCAGCGGCCGGTCCTGGCAGCTCATCCAAAGATAACAGTTAGAGCTTAGAGATGAGCAAAGTGAAGGGGAGATCTTTGTTTGAGTATTTGAAGGCAAGCTATGGAAAAATAATGGAGTGCAACTGATGATTTCCTTGAAATTGTTTTCTAATCTAACCTGCAATCAAAATCCATCATTTACTGAATTTATGGATTATGTTATTTTGTTAGTGACGTAACTTGAGATAAAGAAATAAAAATTAAAGGTGAGGTCTTTGTTCCAGAGTTCAAGGATAAGCTTTGATAATATGACAGTATTTGTCAATTGTTTATGTTTTTTTTTGTTTTTTGTTTTTTTTTGTTACTGCTGTCCCTTATTTTAAATCAGTGGTAAAACAGGTAGTGAAGCTTAGATTTCACTTCAAGCACCCGGTGGATATGGAGGACCCTGTTCTAAAAGGGAAAATCCTGACAAAGGCAGGTTTGAAATAAGTAATTACTAATTTTTGTTCCAAATGAATAATTCAGTTTAATCTTGAAATTATAGTTGTTTATGTCTTCCACTTTTATCCTACAGCTCCAGAACAAACTTGCAGAGAACGGAGTGAGTGGAGTTACCCTGAAGTGGAGAAAGCAGTCTGATGGGAGAGTCTTCAAAAAGGAGAAGAAAGAATTATAAACTAAGAAATATGAAACCTGTTTACTTTTTCCTCGGATTAAATATACTTTTTGTCATTCAGAAGTGCAGTAATTGTGAATAATCTGCTTACTGCTATGCAATTAGATTACTGTCTTAAAATATCCACACGATATGAATACAACATGTTGCTGTGTTGATTTAGACTGTATATATTTGGGAAAGCTTTCTTTTATCATGATCTATTGTCCTTTGGTTTTCTTTTTCTCGGTTTTTCTGTCAGTAAAGTTTTGCCATATTCAGTTCCTGATTTTTTTCCCTTTTACCCTTTCAATAAAGGGTCCATTTCTTTATGTTTACTTTCTTGGTGAATTGTTTTTTTTTTTTTTTCCTCTTTGTATTTTGGTTTTATTTTTTTATTTTAATTTGAGAAAGTTTTTCTCTTTAATTTGTAGATTTTAAGTTAATCTGCGCATAATCTGTGTTAATTGGTTCCCTTCGCTGGTTTTCCTTCTCAGGATTCTGCCTCAGGTCTTTCTTGTTTTTTCTCACTAATCTGACTTCCCTCAACATTTAAGCTTTAAGTATTTTTTTTTTATAAAGGTTTCACTGTTTTTTTCTGAGCTTCAAATTGTTTTTTCAAAATTAACAGGAATTTTTATGCTTTTTTTTTCTAAATATCCCAAGGGTTTTGTTAAAGATTGATTCTTTTAGTTTTATTTCATGTTTTAAATAACTTATATTTGTTAATTTCTATATGTGTTCATGTTCTGTGTAAGTCAGCCAACACCAGAGAGGCTCCAGCATCACCTTATATGGTAATGCTGTATGCTGTGTCAGAAGGGCCCAATGCTGACTGGGGGCTTTGGGATAAAATTGAAAAGCGTCTAGAAGCTTTGGGCCATTTTGTTGGGTCCTCAGCTGATTGGTCAAGATGTAAAAAGATATGGAGAGATATTTGTGCCATCGGTTTGAGCGCGCAAGAACCAATCCGAGAGATGCTTGAAGCTGACACCCCACCCACGTCAAAAAACTCTAAATAGACTGAATGGTTAGTGCTACGTTAGTGCAGATTTGTGCAGAAAAAAATATTGTTTGTGCTACTTTTGTTTAAGAGATATTAAAGATAATTTTTTAGGTCATCCAGAGGTCACCATCCCCCCATTAAACTCCAATTTGAACCAAAGTGGTCTCTTTTTTTAGTGCTTTGTTTGTGCTGATTTGTGCAGTTTAAAACGGTCATTTGTGCTATTTTAGTTTTTAAGATATAATCATTTTAATTTTTGGCTGATGACGTCACCATCCCCGCATCAAGCTCCGATTTGCTCCAAAGTGGTCTCATTTTTTAGTGCTTCGTTGTGCTGATATGTGCCGTTAAAACCAACATTTGTGCTGCTTTACTTTTTAAGATATAATAAATTAAAATTTAGGCCGGTGACGTCACCATCCCCCCATTAAGCTCCGATTTGAACCAAAGTGTTCTCCTTTTTTAGTGCTTCGTTTGTGCCGTTAAAACGGTCATTTGTGCTGCTTGCATGTCCGATTCAAACTATATTCTCTATACTTGCAGGTGATGATCACAACCAACTACATTTATTACACATCTACAACTAATTTCACCTGCTGCTGTTTTTGTTTCAGGCCACTTTTTATCGTGTAAATTCTTGTCAGTAATTTAGTCTGGGACAAAAGTAAATTATATCTCACTGCCAACACTGGAAAGAAGGGAAGTCTTTTTAAAATGTTTCTACTGATAAATCAGTGTCATTATTAAGATTACCGAGCCTGTCTGTCCCCTTTTTTATTGAGAAAGCACTTTACAATACAATTATATACATATACTGGTTATGTTCATATTTTTACATGCTTTCTCTGTTTTCTAATTTCCACAAGAGAAGAAAAAAAACCGAACACACACAAAAAAAAAAAACTTAACTGGGAGTGGCGGGGCAGCCTGAATATCAACTAATAATTGACATCACAAATCAAATTAGACCATAAATCTGAATGACAGTAAGGTTTATAAAGAAAACTCAGGTATAACAGGTTTGACATATTCTGTCCACTTTGACCATATCTTGTAGAAAGTGTCTCTCTGCACATTGATGGAAAAAGACAAGTCAAAAGACAGTCTCTCCAGTGCATACATCTCTTTCACTACACTTATCCAGTCATCGATTGTTGGAGGTTCCCGTTTAAGCCATTTTCTTGTGAGGGCCTTAAAATGAACAGAAGTTTCTGATCATTGTGGTTCAGTTTGTCTACCGGGATGTTACAAAAAAATATGCATTGAAAAGTTAAAGGAAATTTAGCTGAGAGTACGTTCTGTAAATGTTCATGGATTTTTGACCAATATTGCTGAATGGCTTGGCAGTCCCAGAAAACATGGAAATGATTGGTACCATCCCTTCCACACCTCCAGCAGGTATCACCCCTCCCCTGATATCGTTTCTGCTTTGGGGTTATGAAAAATCTTATAATATTCTTCCAGCAGAATTCACGCCAAACCTTCAATCTTGTTATTGTCCAAGGTATCTTACAGATGTGGTCCCAATCTTCTTCTGAAATCGACAGGCTGGCTTCTTTTTCCCATTTCACTTTAATATAAACAGTGCTGTCCTTTTTACACCGCAGGATGGCGTCGTATAACCTGGAGATAATTTTGCCTGATTTTGATTTGGTTAGTAATATAAACGTTTCCACAAAACTAAGATTATGTAACTGTACTTTTAGATCTTTATTAAAATTATTTCTAACCTGTAAAAATCTATAAAAGTCATCTGCACATAAATCATGTTTTCTTCTCAAGGTCTCAAAGCATTGAAACGCCCCCTTGTGGACAAAAGAATAGTAACTAGTTAGGCCCTTTGAAATCCACTTCTTGAATCTGTCATCATGTTGATTTGGGATGAAATCCAAATCATAAGCGCACCATCTTAAAAGTTTAGAGGCGTTTTCTGAGCCACAGATTCTAATAGCTTCGTTCCATGCAGATATCATTACTTGTGTTATAGGTTCGTCTGCCAAATTAATTTTGTTCTGTAATTTTGTGTCAGCTATTATGGCTCTAATCGGTATTGTTTTGACTGTTTCCCCTTCCACATTCTTCCATCCCGCAGTGTAATCCGGACAGCATAAACATATCAAAGGTTTCAACTGAGCTGCACAAAAGTATTCTCGTAAACATGGAAGCCCATAGCCCCCTTTTTCCTTTTTTAATTGTAAAGTTTTGTATTTAACTCTTGCTTTTTTCCCTTTCCAAATGTATTTAGACAGCATCTTATCCCATTCTTCAAATTGTTTTGACGGTACGGGAACTTGTCCCCTTCTTATTAGATTATTTATATATTCATGCTAATTGGCAAAGATCTCTAGGGAAACGTGTTTTTATTGTTATTTTATTATTATTATTTTTTTTGTACTTTCCACTGTTATAAGACTACTTATTTTATACAGTGGCTTGGTTGCCCCATGCTGGAAAGGAAAGTAGTTATTCAACAACAGCAGTTGTTGTCCACTGTCAGAACGTCTTGGTGGAAGAAGATGTGACCAGATGCACCATTAGGTCTAACCACTTTTCTCAAGAAAGCAGTTAATTCACAAGGGAAGAACCATTTCTTTCTCCTGAATTCTCTGTCCTGGTGGACTCCGGCATTTCTCACCTTGACATTGCAGTAGAAAACGGGCTCTCTTTACCAGAGTCTCCCTGCCTACGCCCACTGCAGAATGAATCAGAGTGTCCAGCTGAATTCAAAACAGGAGCCAGTCCTTCAGGGAAAAATGCTCTGTGCTGGAAGTGTTACTCACAGCTACAGCATTGGAGAAATAGCATGGATTGACACTGACCTTGCAAACACAACTGAATTTCCTTTGTGTGAATTTCCCTGTCTTGTGGCTCTCCAAGGAAAGACACTGACCTTAAGAGGAGTGATCGCTTTCAAGGCCAGCTCAACCAAACACGGTCTTGGACATTACACTGCCTACTGCCGAAGAGCTCCATATATGTGGGAACTTTATGATGATCTGGCAAATGTAGTGAAGACAGTGCCTGAAAATCAGTGTTGGTAAGTTACTTTAAAAATGTAATCCGTTACAGTTACAAGTTACCTTGTTTAAAATGTAATTGTAGTGTAACTTTTTCGATTACTTTTAAAAAGTAATGTAACTAATTACTTTTGATTACTTTTTGATTATTTTAAGGTTTTAATGAGTATTGACCCATGTTCAACATTTAATTTTTGAGAACTGAATGTGGACCTTAAAAAAGCACTAAGCTGAGAGGGAACTGCTGACAGACGATCACAGGTTGTCCACAAGAAGAGATGCCAGCACCAGGCATGTAAGATTTTCTCAGACTCCTCTCATCGGGCCATACTCTTTTCTGTTCCTCCCCCAGGCTCTACCATTTATGCAGTTTGCAGACTAACACAAGCTGGTTCAGGTTGATAGCCGGCAAACACTTCTTGCACTGCACGGTTAAATTTGAGCCATTTTCACAGATGTAAATGAAATGCTCCTTAAATTTCCAGTGCTGGAAGGCTGTTATTTTTGATGCGCTGCTTGAGCTGAAATAGAAGCGTCGGCTCGCTTGCTGTTCCTCAAGGAGGCTCCACTCCACCAGCACAGGATGGATCATCAGAGTGGCAAATATGATAGAGACAAGGAGCCGTAGCGGGAAACGGCGATACAGGGTGCAAAGCAATAAAAATATCAATACAGTAAACCCTCGTTTATCGTGGGGGTTATGTTCCTAAAAGAACCCGCGATAGATGAAATCCGTGAAGTAGAAACCTTTATTTTTTTAAAGTTATTATACAATGAAACACTCCATACAACATTGAAATCAAGGAACACAAACTTTTTACAGGCCCAAGCATTTGTTAAACAAATAAAAGTACGGTATAAACGTTATTGTCTGTTTTTTTTTTTTTTACAAATAACTACTGTACTGTACTGTAAAACAATATAGTTATCAATAAATAAGTAATAATTTTAATCATCAATACAAAATGAACGGTTAATATTGCGGGGATCAGCACCGCCCCGCCGTGACAGATTGGAACGAGAGAAAATGAAAAATGATTATGAAAGAAAAATACAAAGTACAGTAGGACAAATAGTGCCTGACATGTACAGTACAGTATTTCACTGCTGTGGAGCCGCTGCATCCTGATTCTGCTCTGTGGCGTTTTTTTCTTCTAAAGCCTGCAGTGCAGGTGTATTTTTTGGAGAGAAGAACATAGTTATCGGTAGTTGTTGTCGCTCTTTTTTATTCTGGGCCAATAGATCCTTATAAACCGACATGCCACCATTGATTATGTTCGACAATAAAGTTTAACAATGCATGAAGCAGCGAGACCG